AAAAAATTGTATAGAAGGCAGGGTGTGGCTGTTTGACGACATAGTCATCACTCCTGTTTGTGTTGACTTTTGATAAGTGGGAAACACGTGGTCTCTATTTATGTGGTTTCTATGAATCACAGCAGCATTACGTGAAACGTGTCACACCTTAAATAACTTGCTAATGAGTAAGGTTCAAAATTATAGAAAAACTGAATGAGTAATTGTTAGATTAGAATTACTAGATAAACAGTTCTTTTAAAATACTGTAATTTCTTTCAGAATACAGAATTCTCAACATAAGAATGAATTCACATTTAAAGTGTGATTTATTCTTATTTTTAAATGACCTACTTTCTCTGCGTTTTGAGATGGTTTGTAGATTTATAACTTTTGCAATGTTGTCAGAACACAGAAAATAATTTGATAACTCAATTTCTTCCTTTAAATAAAGGATGTTGCATCTGGCAAAACAGACATTTGTCTGCTAAGATGCAGCTTCTTACTTTCAGTCTACAGATGGATAGTAACAGGTGATAATAACAGCTAGCATTTGTGAGTGCTTCTCTTGAGTCAGGCAAGTGCTAAGTGTTTCATGCGTATTATCTCATTTAATCCTCACCATAACCCTGTGAGATAGGTACATCTCCATTTCACACATGGGATAACTAAGATGTTACATAGTTTGTTCAGAATTGCAGGTAGAAAGTGGCAGAGCAGGGCTTTAAACTCAGGCATCCTAGTTCCATAGCCCCTACTTGGCCTCAACAGGCCACCATTGACATCATGTTGTGACTTAAGGTAAGTAGCTGAGGCAGCCTCTGTAGACCTAATAGTCCTTCTATAAAATTGTGCTTTCTTCTTTTGGTTTTAAACTCATAAAAATTTTTGTTTTGTTTTAGAGGGAGTCTTAGGTGAGTTTACAATTGTATGGTGTAAGAGTTGCTAATTAAAAACTTAATTAGATTTTTCGAGTTATTGAGGTTGGAGTAGCTAGTATGTGCAGTACGAATGTTTTATAATGTTCATGAAAATGCCCACAAAACTGGTAAAACATTTAAAGAGAATTTATCTTATACTGAAGTTTAGAGTATTATATTTTTATTCTCTTTCTCTCTCACACCTACACCCATACACACACACAGTCATTATGTGTTAACACATCTTTTTATCCAGGAAAATTGGATAAAAAGATTAACTGAACATTTTTATTTACTGATCTACCTTCTATACCCTTAACAGAGGAGGATTATTTTTGAAGGTGTATTATATGGTAAAATACCCTAATTTAAAAATTTCTAAATAGATTGAAGATAATTTATTTTTCTTAGCCTATAAATACTTTAGAGTCTAATGTAGTTGAGTTACTCTTTTACTGAGTACTTATAAAATGCTGTTAGTTTTTGGTGTCTGTTTCATGTGGGTGCTTCTGTAACTTTCTAGAAAGTTAAATGTTCTGAGCCTCGAATTTCATACTGGTGAAATGGACATAATAGGATTATTAAATTTAAGAATTGTGTGGATTGCATAGATAATGAGAAAAATTACCTAGAACAAAAACTGGTGTCAGCTTCTTCTATTTGTTTCTTTAGGTACAGGAGATTTAGTAAATTGATGTAAATCTGATTGGTTTTGACTTCTTTTGAATGTTGTTCTTTTATATTAACAAATTTATATGTAAATTTATTTTTTATAAATTTATTTTATAAATTTATATATAAACACCTGTAATCTTCAAAGAATATAAACAAAAGATAATATTAAAAATAAGTGTAATTCTACAACTTAGAAATAATTACTGTTAGTGTATTTATTCCATGTTTACTTATGATACATTCTTAGAGAGTTACAGAAATTGGGATTATACTCCACGTATTTTTCGTAAATTGCTTTTTAAATAAGAAGTATTCTTTACAAGTAATAAATCCACTTTTATGGCATGAATTTCAGTTTCGTGTCATTTTCTGTTTTATGGCTATATCATAATGTAATCAATTTCTTATTGCTGGGCATTCAGGGTCTTTGCAATTGTTGCTATTTATTCTACAGAACACTGTGAAACAGTTCTGTTCTGTGTGCTTGTCCTGTTGTCCTAGTATAAATTGCTAGATCCTGCACCCAGGAGAATATGCATATTTAAGACTTCTGATACATATCACAAATTACCTTCTAGAATTGTGGTATCATTTTATATTACCTTCAGTAGTGTACAGGGCATGCCAGATTGCCACGTCCTCAAAATATAAGCTATTATTTAAAATCTTCATTTAGTTTTTATATTGTCTTTTAAAAAAATATAAATACTGTGCAAATGGAATCTGGTCTTTTATCATCATTATTTAGATTTTGGAAAGTACATAAGTACAAGAGTACATCAATATTTGGATATATGAGGGGATCTGAAGTCTACTACACATGATCTGGCCTTTCTGTTGTCTTTTTGGGGGAGATGAACCATTATGGATAGTTGGGTTTTCTGAATAGCTTTGAATATTCCATTTTTCCCACTTTATTAAAGGATATTCTAAATATAACTAACTCAGCCATGTCTATATGATGCGGAGGTGTGTTTCTGAGGATTAATTACTGGAGTATTGTCAGAGTTGTAACGTCAGGGTCAATGCACGTAAGGAGGTTTGGGATGTGCTGTTTAACCACCCTCAAGAACTTGATTGCACATTTCAGCCACTACAAACTAATAAGCAGGTGATATTTTCCCTGCTTCAGATGAGCAGATTGGGGTGCAGAGAGGTTATGTAACTTGCTTAAGATCACACAGTTATTAGGTAGTGAATGTGGAATTTGCACTTACTTTGTTTTGGTCAGACTTCAGTTCTTTTTCTTTCCATTTTGCCACTTGCTACACGCTGCCCTCTTTGTTGGCCCTTTCATTGCTGTTGACTGTCATTCTTCACCGCTATCCGATGTCTGCAGGACACAGCCTTTCTTTCTTCTAAATCACTGCTTTGAATCTATATTGATTTGGGAATTTAATTGCCAGATTGTAGTAAGTGTCAGTGGCTCTGAGGGGCTTTGCTATGACTAGAGAAAATGGGCTTTAATATCTGTGTTGGATGTTTCTGGGCCTATTTCATGCTTTTTGGCTTTGCATAGGAGTTTCCAGATGAATGACATGTTACAGCGTTTTCTGTAGCTGAGATCTGCACTCCCCTTGAGTTTGTTTTGGAACAATTTGGGGAAAATTCAAAATAGTTTGTGTTGCACAGGTTGCTGGGATAATCCAGGGTCCTCTCAGAGTTATTTTCAGAAGAATGTGTCATTCTCTTTGTTTAACTGTGCTTTAAACATTATGTTTTTCTTGTTTTTTTAAATTTATTTATTTTTATTTGAGATGGAGTCTCGCTCTGTCACCCAGGCTGGAGTGCAGTGGCCCCATCTTGGCTCACTGCAAGCTCTGCCTCCTGGGTTCATGCCGTTCTCCTGCCTCAGCCTCCAGGGTAGCTGGGACTACAGGCACCTGCCACCACGCTCGCCTAATTTTTTGTATTTTTAGCAGAGATTGGGTTTCACCGTGTTAGCCAGGATGGTCCTGATCTTGTGATCCGCCCGCCTCAGCCTCCCAAAGTGCTGGGATTACAGGCGTGAGCCACCGTGCCCAGCCTAAACATTATGTTTTTCTTATGAGGCTATGGACTCCTTGAGGGAAGAGCTGCCTGCCTTTAAAACATTTTTTTTTTTCCGGTAAATTCCTACCCAGCATTCAGGTAGTGCCTGTAACAGACACTCAGCCTTTGTTTAAGTAAAGCAGCAGTGCAGCCCTTCTGTAGATTAATGCCAAGTACAGGAAGGATCTACCTCTTCCTGTTGCCTCCTGGCCCAGGCTCCTGTCCAAATGTATAGACCAACTTCTGAGAAACACAACCATTATTTTGTCAGTTAACAGGTACCATGTCTAGCTGCAGTAATGTTGGGCACTGTGGAGAGATGCAGAATGAAGACACACAGGGATTATAGGGGGACTGTGAAGCTGGCAGCAGTGAGGACAGCTAGCGGATGGTGGTAAAGGTCCCTTCATTGAGCCCTGGAGCCAACCTGGCTCCAGGTTGAATATCAGAAATGTATTTCTTTCTGAAGCGGCAGGTGGAGCAAGGACTACTCCTGCTTTTAGGTGGTGGCTGCATCTCAGCTGATGTCACTGCCGTTGGTCCTTGTCCTCCGCTTGAGCTGGGACTCAGTCCCAAGGATTGTTCTTAGAGCAGCTTTTCCCCACCGTGACCTTCATTTTCTCTGCTACTATTTCCCTTGTGAAATCCCCTTTTCTATCCCAACCACCTCCCACTTTAGAGAGAGAATCTAGATATTTTTCTAGAGTTTTCACCAACATTATTGGTGGTGGTAACTGCAGGTGCCTGTTCCTCTGTAATTCCTTAAGTTGGGAGTTGTCTGTTTAAAATACTCACCATCTTACCCTTCTTTCTATTTGTTCTCTGCGCCCAGGATTTAATAGTCTTCTCCCTAGGATGTTTCAATAAATGGTTCTTTACATCAATTAGGACAATTTCATAAATAAGTTTAAGAAGTGCCATGCCCTCTGCTGTTTTGCTTTGTAATGAAATTTAAGGAATATAAAGATGGAATTGACATGAATGATTTGTGTATTCAGTGTAGTTGGTATTTTGAGTTTCTGTCTTAAACTGTTTTTATTCACTCTTATTAGAATAGATCACCCATAGGTTTTTAAAAAATATATAAAATATGTTGAAAATTTAGTTTAGCTCTTAACTTTCATGTATCATCCAATAAAATCATTATATTACCAAAAACACTCATTGTGATTTGTTCCTGTGTATATTTGTCATACTAAAATGGTTAAACTATCTCTTTGTAACATAAAACAAACAGTACATATTACTATAAGGAACAGATTATAGGATGTAACAGTCTATATATGCAAATCCTTCAAGTATAACATTAAATGCATATTAATTAATCTAATACTGAATTTGACTTGTGTGTTATCCCTGCTTAAGAGAAAATTAACACACAAACCTGTCTTTCAGGCAGTGACAGAGAAGAATTTTGAAACAAAAGATTTTCGAGCCTCTCTAGAAAATGGTGTTCTGCTGTGTGAGTAAGTATTTAAAGTATTTAAAAAATAATTCAAAAGCAAAGATATGTGTGTGTGTGTGTGTGTGTGTGTGTGTGTGTGTGTGAGAGTGATGAGGTGTTTGGCTTCTCCCATGGCCACCGTAGTCACAGATGTGTGTTCTTGGTCACTGGTGAGATTTCATCCCCGCAAATTGATACCTCACAGTACAAGACAGTAGGAAGAAGGGGTTATCAGTCTCTGTATCTAAAGACAGCACTGGTAAAATATATATTATTTTTAATTAGTAAACAAGAAAGATTCTATTGCATGGTGGACCAGTAGGGCGTGGGTGATTGAGAAGGAAGCCTTATGACATTTTACCATCGATCTCCTAGTCTGAATATTCTAATGGGTAGAATTGCCTGGTTTAGAAGTTAATACGCAAAATCTTTGCTTCATCAATAAATCATGATGATTGGAGTGGCAGATTTTTCTTTTCAGCTTTAAGTGGAGTCATTACATTACCAAAATCAGTTTGCGTTATGGACCATTCATTCAATGAAGATACCATTGAGAACAACACCCCAGACTTCGCTTACAAAGAAGTAAAATAGGCTAGTACCATGATTGATGGTATAAGGCCTACATTGTATGTGTAGTGTAATATCTTGCTCCCCAATGGATGCATAGTACACTTAGCCAAGTATGTGACCTTTGGGAATAAGGGAGAGGCAGGCCTGTGAGGCATAAGGATGAAATCCTGGGTGAAGGTAGAGGTTGCAGAAGCGAGCAAATAAATTCTTAGAATGTACTTGATACTCACCCACATTTTTGAAAGCACTTAACTATTTCAATCTAGACACTTATCGCCCAAGTGTTTGTGCTATCTGTCCACATGTAGGCAGTGAGAGTGTATGCACTAGTACTTAGAGATTTTGATTATCCTTTTGAAGGAGTTGTTTGCAACAAAAGGTCTGGAGTCAAAGGGCCTAGGTTAGATTTCTCACTCCATTACTTTTGGACCTTTGAATAAGTGACTTCACATCTTTGAACATTTGACCAAGTGACTTAACATTTGAGCTTTATTTTCTCATCTGCAAAGTGGAGATCAAGGTACCTGATGTGCCTAATTCACAGAGTTGCTGAGTTCAACAATATATATTTTAAGGTTTTTATAAACTATCAAACTTTGTATATGTACAAGTTGTTGCTAGACGATGGGCATGTAAATAACAGTCTCTATCTTGTCAGCTCTGTTGGCAGGCGTTCAAACTTCTTTGTGTTAGGGTGATATTATTAATTTGTTCCATATGAAGTTGCTGATATTTAACCATTTGTGACCTACAGTAGTGTCAATTTCATGTGGTTTCACCTAATGTATAGGTGACATGTATAGGACAGACATGTGAATAAGGGCCAGGAATAAAGTTTAAAGTGTGTTTCTTGTGATCTTCCAATGTTACATTCATTGGAACGTGAATAATGTTTCAGTTAGTTTGACAATGAGTCAAATAGTGTTTAAACTAATTTAAGTAAACCATGTAGCCCAACTGGTCACTAAAGGGAAGTTATTTTATCTTAATCTGAAAACTGTATGATTTAAATGTATTCTAGTAATGTTTAGAAGATGGAGGGTAAACAATACCTGTTAGAAAGAGCTGTGTGACCTGCAAACTACTTTAGTTGTTATTTAAATGTTTGCAATTAACAAAAAAAAGCCATCAACCGTACACCCCACAAGTCTGAATAGGAACTGGGTGGGTTTGTGCCTATAAGGAAGTGTGTCTATGAAGCACGGAATCTTTCTAGATTTATAAAAGCATATATCTCAAATATATGATCTTTTCAAAGAAATAACTTTGTAGGTTATATATTTCCAGTAATGAACTATTGCCCATAATATTTTAGGGGTCCCACTTTTGGGGCATTGACCCCACAAATAGGTCATTAAACATGTTTGATAGTGACACCCAGGTTTTCACTTAAAATGCACCTTATGCACCAGCCTGGGCTCCGAATGATTAGAAGTGATTTCCAAAAGCTATACCAAGCCTGAAAAGATCAGCGTAGTGTGACTAGGGAGGATATTCAGACTTGATGAAAAACTATTGTGAGCACAGGCAGTACACGTTAGAAGAAATACGTAATTTCTACCTTAATGGCAATAGCAAACATTTGGATGAATGTTTAGCGATATATTCGTTTTTTAAAAAGTCACTTTAATTCTCAGACCTCCAAAGCTCATTCTAATACTGTTTTCTAATTGGAATAACACCAGTTTGGAGTTTTGTGCATTGCCACATAAGTCTCATCAATCTCTTAGTACCCAGTATTCTTTAAATTAACGTTTCCCAAAAGTAGCTTAAGTAAATCTGAAGCCATGGTAATCAGCAATT